CTTAAGCCCTCCTAGGATTTCTCATCAACTAAAATTAGCTAAAAAAAAACAAAAAAAAAAAAAACGTACACTTTGCTAAATAAATGCCAAACAAACACTAATGTTAGCTTATCAGTTTGGAACTGCCAAGCTTACTTCAAGCTTTTTCTACACTTATTTACCATTTATGTTTTTTAATCATTTATGTTTAATCATTATTTAGATTTATATATTAATCAATTAAGTTGTTTATGTATTTATATTTTTCCCAATTTTTCTAGTGGGTATCTAACTACCAGGTGTAAATGTTAGCTATATCTCTTTAACTTAGGAAATGAATCTGTGAATTACCGATACATATTGTCGACACATATCTGCAAGTGTTGTGGTTTGTACTTTACGCAGGACTTTTTTTTTTTAATTCTTACATTAACATTTATTTAACACTTAGAACATCTGTGGTTTACCTCTTGGTACACCTCTGTCTTTTTTGTTGCCTTTGCTCTGAAGAGCTCCTGAAAACTGCCTCTGAATCCTGTGGTTTCAGTCAGTTTTTTTTCCCATTTTGTCTTTTTAAGAAACCGTCAAACCAACGCAATGTTTCCACATCATGTCACAGGGCGACTTTGCTGCGGCAGCTGCAGATTCCACATCTCCGGCCCTGCTGACGAATCCAGACTCAGGCCCAGATCAGGAGATGATAACATTTCCACCGCTGATCTCTGGCTCTGCCTGACACATGATAGTCTGTTTTAATCACACGTAATTATGACACGATCCCAGACGGAGCCTTTGACGAGGTTGATCCTGGACTCCACGCTGACGTTCAGTCCAGCTTCTCTGTTTTTTTTCCATCCTTCTCAGAAAGTCTTTCCTTCTGGGGCCAGAAGATGTGGAGCCGCTGCTGCTGTCACCACATTGCTGCTGCACCAAGAACTGGTCCAGGACCAGCAGCTTTTTTTCATGCATTTTTGCAATTTGTTTCTAAACCCAACCACAGTAAACAGTTTTAGTCACTAAAATCACATGTATAGCATAGTATATATGTGTACAAGTCAGTGAAGGACTTCCTCAGTCA